ATAAAATATTTCAGATCTTTTTTATTCTTCAAAATTCACAATATATCCTAAAATCATGGAAAAATGATATTTATGTCTAGGATTTTAGGACCAACATAACCATGTAAACATTTCACACATAGACACACACTAGCACAAAAATCCCCATGTTGCCGCTACCCTACCCTATCTTGATTTTTCTTTTCATATTACATCTCATTCCATCTATATCTCATATCCCTTGAATAAGTAACATGTAAAAGAAAATATAGCACATAAATCATATAGATTTATTAGAACCAATAACCAAAAATAAAGGCACAAAGAGACTAGACCTTGGCTCTTGATACCACTCGAAGGAAACATTGCATCTCATGTCTTGGAAATGAATTTAACCACAACATATAACACAAAAGCGTTCATAATGGTGGACTGATTTTGCTTATTCTAGTTGAGCTAAGCTTTTTTCATTTAGTCTTCTTGAAAAGTATTGTGATGCAAATGCTAATTTTAGTAATGATACCCAGTGTAAATGAATGCACAAATTATCTAGGTTTTGTAGCCTCATAACCTCTTCAATGTACTTCAACTTTCTAGCAAATACCCAAGTCCTAATTTCTAAAGATGAGTTAAGAGGAATTACATGACAATTAATGATGACTAGACATGCATATTTGACTAGTCATACATGATAACACCATAATGCATGCAGTGTAATGTATGCTTTTTATCTTCAAGGATGTTGATTCCCTTTGAGCCATGACAAGGTTGATCTCAACTTCTGTAATCTCATCTTCAATGCAAACTTAAACTACCCTAAATTTCTTGACAAGGTTGATTCCCTTTGAGCCTTTCTATATAATTCTGCACCAGAGTAGGTGATCTTTCCAAGAGATAAGCAAGCTACAATCTCAAAAGATAAGTGGGAAGCAAGGGAGTTGTTCAAAAGCAAACTGACCATCACGCCAAATTGTGTACTTTTCCCTTTACCAAGAACAAATAGAGAACAAAGAAGAGTTGGTCTTTCTTTCAGAAAATCAAGGAAAAGACCCCCATGAAAACTGATTATTAATGGTTCTTCTCTGCCAGAACAGATAACTTCCCCTTTTCTTTGACATTTAAAAATGAAAGATCTTGATTTTAGAAAATCTGCCGCCCATTTTTAAAGACTAAAGAAACCCACTCCAGCATTTTCTATAAATATAGGAGGAGGTGAACAGACCAGAGGACAACCAAAAAATCAATCAAAGACAAAACTCAAAATGATCACTTGATCTCAAAAGCCTTCAAACAAACTGAAGCAACCAAAAACTCATTGAGCAACAAGAAAGAAACCAGCTACAATTCAAAATCTCTAACTTCAGTTCAGTCTTAGAGAAATAAGTCATTCAAAACGAGACTCTCTCGTTACAAATTCG